GTAAATTTAGTGATCAAACTACAGCAGATTATTTTCACTGTCTAAGTGGGTCTTGATTGTTAAGAGGATCACTGTATTTTTCTTGTTCTATCTATGGAAACGGACAATTTTGGAATAATAATTTTGGAATGATGTTTCCCAGTTAAGATTGACAGAATCTAATACTGCATGCTATTTAGACTATATTAATATTCTTTGATTTTTTTTAAAAATTGATACTTTATTTTAATTACAGAGGATGATGTATTTTCCAGTATTAGTTTGGGATAGTAGTCTTCAAAAATATTTCCCCAAACTGCTACCCTGCAGTGTGTTAGCTCTAATTTTATGGGAGTTACAGGAATTAAAGATAGTGGAGAGCACCAGTTTGGAAAAACTCTATTATGTTTTATTGCAAATTAATTACTGTTGAATGTAGTGAGACTTATTTACAGGACACCCACCAGTCTTGTTATATTGTGGGTGCTTTGTGACTGACAGCTGAAGAGAAAATGATGGTTCTCCAAACTGGACAACATTCTGGTTGGACTACAAAACATTTTACTGGACAAGTTTTATTTGACAAAAGTTTCTTCCTAAAGATTTGTCTAAGAAGATGTGAGAATGTAATGGTTTTTAAAATAAAGAGCTTTGAAAAAGAAAAAGTGCTCATAGCTACTCAGCACAGATTTTGCTCAGATTTCTTCCTGATATTTTTAAGGGGTTCTCTTAAAGCATGTGCATGAACATTTCAGAATAAATGTGTGCTCTGAGTCCCATCTATGTTGTCATCTTATGGGACCAAGGAAGAGTGTCTTCTCTGCTGTGGCCCACCCTCTGGAACATCATCCCCCCAGAGATGCAGACAGCGCCCTCCTCTTTAACACCAGACGAGACCAAAGCCAGGTCTTGAGGGCTTTTTGGAACCCCAGAAGAGAGGGCGCTGTCTGTATCTGTGGGAGTTGAAGTCCACACATCTAAAGTTCCAAGGTTGAGAAACACTGGGTTAAAACCTTTCTCTGTGCTATATTAGTTTTCTGTTTGCAAGGAGTGTCATGAGTGTTCTACCTCTTTTTCTTCCTCCTTTTCTCCACTAACTTTGGTACAGATTTGCTAATCTTCTCTCTTCCTGTTCTTGCAAACTAAGGAAACCTGATATCTAAAAGTTGCGGTCTGAGCAGGGGTGTGCCGTAGCTGAAGAGCTGGTGGACAGCCTCTCTGTTCCAGCCAGAAATGTACTTTTATGCTTCTGTTTGAAAGACCACTTTGCCTTCTGCCGATGTTGTACTCTCACTTCCTCTGTTTATATGTTCTAGGCTGAAAGGATAATCATGTTTCTTTTGGTGCCACTGTTTTGGGTATGAAAAATATCATTGCTCTATTTTCTTCAAGTAGGAGAAATACAGTTGTTTAGCTATTGCTATGAAAGGAAGAATCCAATAAATTAAAAACAAAGGCAGTTAAACATTTGGCACATCACAAAAGAAATCAATTTCTTGAATGTTCAATAGTTTTAGACCTGTGGTCATGTCCAGGAATGTACCGACTGGCATTGTTAAGTCCTCTAGCACTAAATAGATCACAGCATGTATTTTTTGCTGTGTCATAACATAAAGATTTAGCTCTACATCACCATAATGCAGAGGAGGAGAATTTGTGGTCCTCCAACTCTTACTGAATGACAACTCCCAACATTCCTCTTTGTTGGCTGGGCTGGTGAGGCAGCTGGGAGCAATGGTTCTCCCACACCTGTGTGGGGGAGCAGCAGTGTTAAAATGTTTGATTAGCCTTAGATTCAATTAAGTTGTATTTGTTTGCACCAGAGGTTGGCCTCCTCATTCCTGCCTATTAATAGGTCACGCTGATGGGAAGCGAGGCACATGATAGCCTTACCTAAACTAGAGTCTCAAGTTTTGGAAAGAAGCAGCTGGAATATAGCTATAAAACAAAGTAAAACAACTCTTACTATACTATTGATGGATTTAAAAATAATAATATGGACAACAAATACTATTTACTAGGTTTGAATTTATTTGACAGTATTTTATTGATTTATTTGATGTGTATCCTGCTTTTGCTTCAGGAGCTCAAGGTAGTATACCTAGCCCCTCTTCCATTTTTCCCCACAACACCCCACCCTGTTGGGATGAGAGAGAGAGTTGGTGGCCCAAAGATACCCAGTGAGCTTCCATGGCTGAGGGTGAATTTGAACCTGGGCTTCCTCATTACCAGTCCAACATCTTAACCACTATTCCACCCTGGCTTTCCTGACATTTTACTGCTGCCAGAGCAAAATTGGTCGTCTTTTCTTCCTTTGCATTCTTTGCCACCAGGTACCCTAATTTCTGTTAAATGATCAGGGAGACAGATTCTGCGTGGATTGCCTTTGGGAGCCTGAAGTTTATGTATTAAAGAAAACGGGGTTTTTTTGGTTGCTATAAGCATGTTACTACTTTTTATATATTGTGTAAAATACTACAGAGGTTGATACTGTTGTGTGATTTATGTTTGGAATATGTAAAACAGTAGAATTTGAACAAGAAGACAAGAAACCAAACTGAAATTGCAATCAGTGTTGATAGATGCTGGATCCAGTGGGTTTGATCCAAAGATTTCCTTTTTTTTTTCATGTTGGAAAAAGACCTACTCTGATTGCTAGAAGAAAGGGTTTATTTATTGGTGCTTAATTTGGGATGAAATGTTGTTATAATGCTGCTTTATATCTATAGCTGATGATTTGTACTTGCTTTTCTAATAATAACTTTTGTGGATATGTTTTTGCTGTTTGTCTTGATTTTATATGTTTACAATGTACCTACATTATTGAATACAAAGAGTAAATATTCAGTCTTATTTGTTAGTAATATTGCTTTTTTTAAATTTAAAATGATTTTCTAAAACTTCGTAATGCACTTATACCATTCCTGTGTGTTTTTAATAGACCTGAGAAATGTATCCTGGGGGAATGTTTTGACGATTCTGAGTTTAAAAAGTACTTATTTTTACCACCACTGGTGTTTTGGGAGATGAATGCCTCAAGTGAGTCTTATGATGTGAATGTTTTGGTGGATAATTTGGTCTGATGATTTGCTCATATGATCTTAGATTAGATCATGAAATACAAGAAAATTTTTGCTTTAACACTTCTGTTGTTTCTGTGGAACAGAATTCTATTGGTGCTCTGTTTATCAAATGTTAATGTGTATACAGTTAAAAAACTTCAAAGGCTCTCTCATCTGCTGGTTGTTCCAAGAGTTTGTAATCTCAACATATAGAGATTCAATGAGGAATACTAGATGCCATTTTATTACTTTGGGAAAATCAGTCTCTATTTATCATTATACAAAATGATCTTTCCATGAGATTACTTAGGAGATTCCGTCAAGCCTATCTGATATTTCTGCCAATCAAGAAACCATTTCAAGACTGCTTGAACTTCTAGTGGGTGTTATTACCTTAAAATATGCCTTTTTAAAACTTTTTTTGAAAGTCCTCTAATTCTTTGAGGAGTGGATGGCAGCTTTTTCAGGGGGAACAGGTGTTGCTTTCTTCTTTATTTTAGACCAGATTAAAGTCCTGTGCTTTAGAATAGAAAATCTGTGCTATTCTATGGCTATTTGGTCATGAACCACCTTGAGTTATATGTATATAAAAAAAGGGAGAATAAAAATACAACAACAAAAGCAACAACAATATTTCTACAATATTTCTTAGGTTAGGTTCTGAAGCATAAACTTCACAGATCCATTGCAGAACATTGCTATCCAAGCAAGCTGAGTGCAAGCCATTCCACCATAATATATGTAGCTCGTCCAATATAAGCATGTGTTTGATCTTCTAAGATAGAATTGGTTGAAATTCAGGATAAATAAGAGAAAATGATCACAACTCAGCCAACTTGTGTAGTTCAATTATTAAGAGAATTCTTTGGTATTGTTTTGGGCTTACTGAAATATTAATGTGGAAACACAGGTGATCAAAATTGCATACTAAAATGCCTTAGGCATCTGTTGAAGGCAGATCTTACTCCTTTAAATATCTCATGTGGTAGGCGCAGTTGGCTCTCGTAGTCTGGTTTCTATGGAGATCTGTTCCCTTGATCCTTGTTGTTGCAAGTGGTTGATGCTGTAGTTTCCCCAACAGAAATTCACAAGGTTCTGATGCTGTGACATTAATTATTGTTGAGCATGGGATTGGCAACTAGCTATTAGCAATGGTACATGCGGGCAGGACTTTGGGCAGAGATGCAGGGCTCCACAAGACAGAACAGCCCAAATGCAGCCGGTGGCTTGCCACAGTCACACTATTTTCATAGTATTATTACATCTAGTACTTTACTCAATGGGCAGGTAAATACGACTGCCTTGAGTGACAACTAATTTGTAAAGTATGTGTAGCCTATAGTAATTAAGCTTTTGTTTTTTATGAAGCACAGCAAGCAGAAGACTCTCTATAACAGCATGCTCTGCAATATCTTTTAGAAAGCTTTTAACTTCCTATTTCCCCCCTGCCATTGATGTGTTTCAAATTTCCCAGAAGAATAAGACATATCTCAGTAAATAAGTCTTTTAGCTACAAAAGAACTTTAGCATCCATGGATAAATACAAGGAGTGAAAGGTAGAGCTTCTTTGGAGTTTATCTTCCCACCTTTCTTTGCTAATGTTTGCATCTCCTTTAGATGCATTTTGTTGTAGACTTCACTTGTGTCCTATGCAATCCAACACATTCCTGTTCAACTCCTTTGCAAACTGAGCTTGAGGGGAAATGTAATTCTGAGTTTGGTAAGAGAACAATGGAGTCTTTTAAAGGGAATTATCTGGAAAGTAAGGAGTTGAAGATGGAGTTTTGCCCAGCCAGTGGGAGGCCAAATTTGGTATTAATTGAGAAAAAGAACAATAATACATAAAGTTGAATTGAGAGAAGAGCTGCAAATATTAATTGATGAGTGTGGTTGTGCTTCTAAATATAAATCCCTTTAAAAATCCAAATAATTTTTAAAATCATTTTTGTTTTCAGTATGCAAGGATTTGGATACCTGACTCAGAACTAGTCTGGAAGTCGGCAGAACTTCTGAAAGATTATAAACCAGGAGACAAAGTCCTCCATCTTCAACTTGAAGATGGCAAGGTAATGCTAATCTTACTATGTCATGTGATAAGGTTTGTTGTACTTGGATTCAGAAATCTGCACTTTTATGATATGATCTTCTTTATTTGGAATTTGTATCACCTACTACTAAATAAAGTCTTCAAGTTGGCCTGAAGTATCCTTAAAATAAATAAAAAAATTTAAAAAGTAGTTTATGTACCCAAACATAATATTCAACTTGAGAAAAAGTTAGTAAGCTGTTATATACAGTAATAATTTTGTATCTCTAGGACATCTTTTTCCTCAAGTATCTTTTTAATTCACACAGCTAATGAACTTTGTGAAAAATCTAAAAATATATCTCCAAATGTAATTTATTTATGTTATTTTTAGGATATTGAATATAAACTTGATGTTAAGTCTAAGGACCTACCACCCTTGCGAAATCCAGACATACTTGTGGGTGAAAATGACCTGACAGCACTCAGCTATCTTCATGAACCTGCTGTTCTTCATAATCTCAAAGTTCGATTTATAGACTCAAAACTCATTTATACATATTGTGGTAAGCACAGAACCTCTAAAGTCTTCTTCAAGTTATTCCTCATTAGTGTTCATAAATGACACATTCCAGGGCAGGAAGAAAAAGAATCATCTGACTTCAATTCTGAAAAAGTTTATAGTATTTCTTTCACAACCACTGGGGCCTGAGTGTTTTTTAAATTATGAAACCTCTATATCCTAGCTGGCTGTGTAAAACCACAATGATGCAATGATTAGGTTTTTCCAATCTTGGCATAGGTTGATATCAAATAAGTTTGTAGAATAGACATGATAACTGAGTTTCACATATACACAGGCAGTAAGCTTACCTGAACTTGTTAGATGCAATTTTAATGTGTAATTATTGAACAAAGTCACATCACATTTTCGTGTTTATAGTTTGTTGTTGAGATACGTGTGTGCAGTTTGTGCATCTGTGACACAGAAACATATATATCTTTCACCAGATTCTTGATAGCTGGTGCAACAAGGGAAGTTCTTTTTAAAAATGAGGAGAACATCTTAAGAATGCATGAGAATTAGGCAGAGATTTAAGCAGAGTTTCTATGAGTTTAATAAACTTTCTATGAGTTTAATTAAGTTTTTCATACACTTTTCCCTTCTCCATAGATTCCTATCCCCATCGTGTTGTTTACAAGTATTCTGTAACTGACATTCCTTATTTTACTCAATGCTTGCACTCTTTGTAAGTTAAAATTAAAACTAGGGGAATATGTACAAGTCACCTAATAGATCTGATTTTTTTTTTCATGGTTCATTTTCAGATCTAAGACTGAAAAATTAATTATATTGTATTATTCTGTATTGCTATCCTGGTCTTTTTGAGCTGCCAAGTATTGGTCTTAATTGTAAAGCCCTCATATTTAAGATGAATAATTCAGGAAAGGAAGGTTAAACTAATTACAAGGGGGAGATTTGACTTAGGTGAACAATAAAAATAATGTAAAAACAGTGTTCATATATATATAATAGCATTCATATAAAACATTCTAAATGTGTTACCTTTGATATTTGTTTGCTTATAAATTAAGATTCCATATATATAAAATTATTGTTGTTTTAAGAACAGTTTTGAAATTTAAAAAAATTAGGACTTGTCCATTTAATGTAAAAAGATTTTTTATCTGTTGGGTTTAATTTTAAAAGGTTTAGTCCTTGTAATTATATGTAGTTAGCAAGAGCATTTTAATCACCGAAGCATGTTTTAACTAAATGCATTTTAAGCAACCAGAGAGAGATCTTTCCTTCTTCATTTCCATCTGTGTATCTGTCTCAAAGTTTACAGTTTTTATTTTCTTTCTTCCACTGGGAGATGCTTTGCTTGTAGTAGAGAAACAAACACTCTTTTCCCAGGTGAACCAGGCCAGGGTTTACGTACTACCAGAAAATAAGAATTAACTACAACTTTTCTCAAACATTGATTTATCATTAATTGTCAGTGACACTCATGCAGGATTGTCATTCACTTAGGTAATTTTCAGCTGTGGACTCAAACAATTAAATTGCGCTTGCTTCAAAGTGCAGCAAGTCGCGCTCTCGGTTTTGAGGTCCACTTCTTCATTTCAGGGAGTAAGGCCCCGGACTTTCGCTTCAGAGGCGCGCCTCAGTGGCTCATTTGATAGAGAAGCATATCCTATGGGTCTCCTTAAATTCTTTTTTTCCTTTTAAATAATTTTATTGAAGTCTTAGTTTGTATTAGTTTTTAAACTAGAAGAAAAGAAAAACAAAAAAAAAACAGTTCAGAAGGTGCAGAAAAAAAGGAGAACAAAAGAAAAAGAAAATTAGAAAAGAGAAAAAGAGAAAGGCAACAAAGAGAATAATAAAGAAGGGCTTCCAACCTTCATCGCACCAAGCATAAGCTAATGTGGTAACTTTTCACCCTCTTTTAAAGTTACAAATTAAAAAAAAAAACACTCTTCTCCCCATAGTCTAACTTTTATCTATACACAAATATCATATTTTCAATCCTTGAAAAGTCCATTAGGAGTTACCAGAAATATCAAACAAATTATTTATCCCTGGTCAAATAGTCCATCTTTATATTCCTTCTTTTCGCTCTGCACAATCTTGACCTTTAAATCATTCCAGTGGCATCTCAGGATTTGATCCTTCATCTCTCTCTGGCATTTAAAAGGGGTCTTCAAAGCTTTCACCTGCCTGCTTTGTAAATCCCATAAAGAGGCATCATCCAGGATTTCTTGCCGCAGCTGTTCCGTGTCCAGATCCTTTTCTTGATTGGTCTTTTCTATTCCCATTTTAGTCATCTCAATGTTGTTGTCTTCCATGCCTTCACACTTTATAATGTCTATGTCAGGTAAAAGTTTTTAAAAATTTTTCTCATCTTCTAAAAGTTTATCCATTGAAATCTGTATCCTTTCTGAGATATTACTTATTAATATCTCAGTCCATTTTTCAAAGAAAAAGTTATAACCAGCTTAGCTATTTTAACTCCTTTCTGCCTGGTCCTTTACTTCCCTCTAGTGTCCATTTGCAACCTTCATCAAGCCTCAGTTCCTAATATGGGTTTAGTTCCATTTCAGTCGTTTCCCACAAGTATATTATTTCATTAGATACTTGTTTTCCAAATCTTACAGCAAAAATAACCAATATTCCAAATCTCTCTGATCTCCCAATCTGTTTAAAACTTTCTTAAATCAAAATCCTTTTTTGCTTTTTGCCAATTGTATATTATTTTAAATTCTTGTTGCAGGGTTACAGATAACCCCTCAAATTCCTCATGATATCAATATCACTTAGCCAATACATTGACAAAATGAAAGGGGAAACATACTATTATTGTTGTGGTTGCAGTTCAACATGGGTTAAATCTTTCCTGAAATGATTCCACTGCTTTTCCATGTAATATTGTGATGTCTTCTTTCTGTTGTTATTTGGTTTCAGGTATAGTTTTAGTTGCCATAAATCCTTACGAGCAGCTGCCTATCTATGGCGAAGATATCATCAATGCCTACAGTGGCCAAAACATGGGGGATATGGACCCCCACATCTTTGCTGTGGCTGAGGAGGCATACAAACAAATGGCCAGGTTTGTGGGATGAGGAGGGTTGGCTTTTCACAAGAATATCATCATTAATGAAGTATCACTAATGTTTCAGAAGAGATTGTGGCTGAGTTAAAAATGACAAGTGTGGTGTCTAGGAAACTCTTCTGTGAATAAGGAGACCCCTTGGTTTAAATTTCAGCTTTTCTCTGTCCTTATCTGTAATTTGGGGATTAGTATACCAATTTGCCTTTTTGGATTTGTGCACAGATTGCCATCTATATGATGTAGTTTTGAATACCAAAGTAATGCAGAATTCTTGTTTAGCGTGTTCACAGACAATGGATAAAATTAAGGGTATGGTAAGTTAGATTGCATCTTACAATATGCAAACTCCCCCAAATACAATAAGCTTGTTGCTGTCATGATGGATACAGTCATATACAATCAAAACTAATTTGTTTCTGTTTCAGAGATGAACGGAACCAGTCAATTATTGTAAGTGGGGAATCAGGAGCTGGAAAAACAGTATCTGCTAAGTATGCTATGAGATACTTTGCCACAGTGAGCGGGTCTGCAAGCGAAGCTAATGTTGAAGAGAAAGTATTAGCTTCTAATCCTATAATGGAGGTAAGACCAGAATGTTATTTTGGTCATTTTAACTTTATTAGGGAGCAGTTTTGCCACATGGGTGACTTTCTTCCCCTTTACTGCTTCAACCATGCTGGATTATATAGAAATCAGATAACTGATTTGGATTTTTAAGGGTTGGCAGATTTTGAAGAAAAACAGGAAATGATGGAAACAAAAATATAATGCAAAAGAGAAGTGGATGGGGAGGGAAGGTAAAAAAAATTCACTGATGATTACTTATTAGATGCAGAATATTCAAGAGATCTACTGACAAAACCAACTTCCCCTTTTCTTGAATATTTTAAAATATATTTTTTCTTATTTTAAGCATCTCTTGAAACTCAAACAAAAGTGGAGGTGGCACTATCCGCCCTAATGCAACTTTGTCAGAGGTGTTTTTGATGTATTCAGAGCTCAGGTAATTCTGCCTGGTTTGCCGTGTTGTGTGGAATTTGCAAGCAACTTTACTGAACACTTATCAGTAAAATGTATACTAACCAATAGGCATGTAGTGTGCATTTTCACTTTTCCTTCCAGGTGTGAAATGATCCTGACTTGTAAGGGGGATTTCTCAGAACGCCTTGCTACTCCAACCAGCTTTTCTTAATGTTGTCCCTAAGATAACGGAAGATTGCAAGGAGCTATTGCAATTTTCCTCAGGTTTCTAGTGAACTTTTAAAGTTCTTATGTTCTTTATTCTCACCTGCAGGAGACCTGTCCTGGGGCTCCGAGAGGACTGAACATGAGAATCCCACATTGTTCACTCCATGGTGAAGCAGACAGTCTGCATCATTATTAAGAACATTCAGCACAAACTTGTTCTCATACAAAGCTTTTCTTAAAATGCTAACTTGCTTTAACTGGTTTCATGTTTTGCTTACCATGATAGGCTCCTTTCTTCACCTAGTGCAAGAAAAGCGCAAATAAAACAAGTGGCATAAAAATAATATATAGACGTATATAGGTTTTAAGCATATATTTTTCATATATAGTGGTAACACAACATTTCTAGCTTAATAAAACATTAGATAAATGGGCAATGGGTTAATGCATGTAGGCAGTTTCCTTCTATTGCTCTATATTTAGAAGGGACAACAACTCACAAGGCTACGGCAGGGATGGATACACTGAATGGGGTGATTATGCTTCTGTGTTGGGGAGGTTTCCCAATCCCATCAAAGTTTGGGAAAGGGACAGCACAGATGCAAGGTATCCTTAAGCAACATAGGACAATAATTCAAGATTGTTTAAGGCTTCTGTTGCTCTTCTCTAAGAAAAAATAATTTCCTACCTAGTTTTTGTAAGGATTGCAACTGTGACCTCAGAGAAAACACTGAAGTCTGAGAAGCTAACAGATGATATTTGCCTGCTTTAAAATGTGCATTAATTTTTTTTAGCCTATGCACATCCCTTCACTACATCCCTGGTGATGTACAAATACAATCATTGTTCTAAAAATACTCCCCCATCCTCAGTCTCCAACAGAACCCCTGTTTCAATCTTAGAATGAAACAGTCCACATTTGTGGGTGTGTGCTGGACTGTCACTAACATGCAGTTATTGTTAACAAAAGTGTATGGATGATGAAACTCATTTTCTGAAAGAAGATCTGTTGGAGTAGTGTACAGTTCATCTTGTACATGGTTTTTAATAAAATGATTCTCTGTGCCCACACAAAGAGGTCTGCTTGTGCCTAGTAATACCGTATGCATTTGAAAATGTTAACTGCAGAAATGTTATAGATTAAATTAGGGTGAAAGGTCTCACTTTTTAAGATGAATTTTAAATTATTGATTAAAATTGGCAATTGTTAAAGCAATAGTTCTTGAGTATGATGTAGTCCATCTTTGTTTTTAGATAATGCAGATGTGTTCTCAAAAAGCCATAATCTTAGAAGAGGCATTCGCTCCCATGTGTGTGAGAAAGAAGCCCTTCGTAAGGTGTCATCTATAATTGGAGTGGTTCTTGAGATAGTTGAGCCTGTTCTGTTTCCTTCCCCACAGTCTATTGGGAATGCTAAAACTACAAGAAATGACAACAGCAGTCGCTTTGGGAAATACATTGAAATTGGTTTTGATAAGCGGTATCGGATCACTGGCGCTAACATGAGGACTTACCTCCTAGAAAAATCAAGAGTGGTATTCCAGGTAAAATGGATTCTGCGCTATTTTGAAGTTGCATAATTATGAGTTGTGGGGCAGAGCTGTGCATGATGGCAGGACTAGGTTGGTTACATCTGTAATGGGATGCTGGCAGTCTTCCTCTTTGCAATCTAGGCTGGAAATAGTTAATCCCAGGAAGAAAGTATCTTATTTTCATAGACACCTATAGATAAGCAATTTAGGGTGGTGGTTAAACTCTTGTTCATTTCCCCCCACTTTTTTTTATGCAGAGGGTGGGAAGGTTGTTTCTTTTGTGAAGGAGTAGCAGTCTGTGGGTATAGCTGCTTTGATAACTCTTATACCTATCTATGGGAAGTAACTCTCACAAATGCAAATGATGTTGCTGTAGAAAGATCTTATTGTCAGGCCTAGCCCAAGGAACTCCTGGAGACCGTGTAGGTTCAATCAGCAAGGTTTA